TTATGCAAATTGAGTAAGGGTCATAGTGTGAGTTGCGTTCGAAAATAACAAAGTGTCAAATTATTTTGAGCGCCGTTCGGAATAAATTTAGTCAAAATCACACACAGAAACACACACACAACACACAAATACTAGTACTCAATACATATCGCGATTGACCAGTTATATAGCTGCTTGAACTACACACACAAGGACGTAAATATGTAAATACAGGTCACAGTTTGACTTGCGTAGCAAACGTTACAATGTGTCAAGTGATTTGAAGGAGTCTTTGTTCCAAAACAGAGAAGCAATAGGCGTTGTGTTTTGAATCGTCATTAAAACCTAAATTTATTACGAATAAAAACTTAAGTCTATACATACAATGTACGATCATTGTTACTCCAGCGGTCGGCTAGCAAGCGGACGATGTTTCTGAAGCCAGCCATAGCAGGAGTGAGCGAGCAAGCGAGCGAACAAAAGCGAACGCGAGCGGTCGGAAAAAAAGCGGTCGGTTTCCGGTCGGAAAGCAGCGAGCGGTCGGAAATTAAGCGATAAGCGGTCGGAAAAAAAGCGATAAAAGCGATATGAGTACTGTACACTGTCACCACCGCATACACTGTCACCACCGCATACACCGTCACCACTGCATACACCGTCACCACTGCATACACTGTCACCACCGCATACACTGTCACCACCGCATACACTGTCACCACCGCATATACTGTCACCACCGCATACACTGTCCCTACCACATACACCGTCATCGCATACACTGTCACCACCACATACACCGTCACCATGGCTTACCCTGTCCCTACCACATACACCGTCATTGCATACATTGTTACCACCACATACACTGTCACCACCACATACACCGTATCTACAAATACCATCACCAACACATTTCTCCCCTTACATATTAACAGAGCATCATTGGATACTTACTGATAAATAACTTGATATAAAATAAAGCTGACGAGAGTCAAGAATTCTTAGCATTTTGTGAAGAAACTCGTTTCTCTGAACATCTGCAAAAACAAATTTGAGATATATAAACTAAGATTGAACTGGTCACTATTTTATTCTGATATTGATGCTTTTCTTTCAAAAGGTTGCTTATTGAAAAAATGTTTTATTTCAAAATAATAATAAAACATTTTATATAAAGTGACTAGTAGCTTCGCGGTGAGTGGCTTTCGCGGTAATTGGGTTTCGTATCTGTAGGGTTTCGCGGGGAGTAGGGTTTTGTCTCAGTAACTGGTCCTTTCATCCTTGTTGAGAATTAAAGTTTTATGTTTCTTTAACAACTGGCACTATTCTGGGAATACCATCCTAGCAGGAGTTCCAAAATAAGACCCATGCTCTGATAATGCCTCTAGTTTCAAAGACCAATAAACATTATCATTATGATCTTATTGGTGTTGCAAAGGATAGTTGAATATTGTTTATTGAAATTAATAATCCCCATAACCGTTTTCCAATATAGATAAACAACTAATTCAAATTGAAAGAAATTGCAATATAAAGTATTCATCAGTAATACTTCTCAAAGGCGTATTTCACGGTCAGTGTTATTTACGAAAATATTTTGTTTATAATTTTATAAACTTGCTTGGCAATACCCACCCCAATTAGATATAATGTGTACATATTTTAATAAATAAAGATATACTAACAAAAATGAAATATTAATTATTTCATATTTTATTATATAACCTGCACGACAGTAATCAATATTTTTCCTTGCTAGAATGATGTGTAACTTCATACGGGAATCCTGATAAAGTTCACAACTGGCGATTTAGCAGTATTAGGGATTGTCAACTTCTCGTGAATTTGATTACCTAACATGTTTAGGTTCATGCGCTGAAGAAACTCTCCGATTTGACACAATCTGGGAAGTTCGAATTACTAAATGAAGTACAGGACGACGAAGCTGAAATATCCAAGAACCAACACATACCAAATATCTCAAAAGTGAATATTCGTGGTGTATTTTAATTCAAATCGGACCGGAAGTGGGAATTTGTTAGTACTCTAAATAACATATTGGCGATCCACTCTGCTAGGATTGCCCGTAAAACCACTTTTTGGCGATCCGCTCTGCTAGGATTGCCCTTATAATCACTTTTGTAGGTTTGTAATGTGTGTGATTTCCAGAGTTTTCACGTATTATTTCTTCTGTGATTTTTTTGGCTTGGCCGTTTTCGCCCAAAATTGGCATGTAGGTCACACCTTCACCCTAGTTATTGGAAAAAAATTGGCCCACCGTTGCCATAGCAACAGCCAAAAAAAAACTTTTTTTGGATAACTTTGCGCCAAATGTATCTCCTCCTACAAATTTGGGATAAAACACCCCTAACATAGCTCATTCTACTCAGCTTGAGTGTGGGCACAAAGTTACTATTTGAATTTTTTTCATTACCGAGAAATTTGATCCCAAAGTTGGGGTAACTGTTCACCAGGAATGGCTTTTTAACTCTTCTGTGATTTTTTGGCTGAGCCGATTTGGTTCAAACTTGGCAGGCAAATCACACCTTCACTGTAGTTAAGGTTGTAAAATCTGAACACAAATTCTGGCCCACTGTTTCTATGGCAACAGCCAAAAAACTGATTTTTTTAATACATTCGCGCCAAATGCATCTCACCCTACATTTCTACGATTAAAAAGCACGGACGTAGCTCATTATACTCAGCTTGGGTGTAGGCAAAAATATACTTTTTGTTTTTTCTTATGTCTATTTCATTACCGAAAAATTCACCTCAAAGTGGAGGTAACTTCTCATCAGCAACGACTTTTACCTCCTCTGTGATTTTTTTGACTTGGCTGATTTTGTTCATACTTGACAGGTAGGTCGTACCGTCACTAATTGGAAAAAAAATCCTGGCCCACCACTGTCATTGCAACAGCCAAAAACTGATTTTTGAATACTTTCGCCCCAAATTTATTACCTCCTACCAGTTTTGTAATTATAGCCGTGTTCAAATGATCATGCTTTTTATTTTGGCTACGCTGCACACTGGTAAGAGATCACCGGCGCCGACATTGTTACACTGTATCAACGTAATCCCAACGCAACTTTGAGCTTTGAATGAACTGTAAATGCTGCCTTCAATCTAGAAAATACTATCGCAAAACGGTTGGAAATAATAAATTTCACAACAGAATAATCTAACAATAAAATAAAGTAACTTGTAAAGACTGAATTTGTTTGCAAACTTCGTATGCGGGACTCGGTTTTAGTTATAAACCGACGTTAGCTTCACGTTCATGTCCTACCGTGACAACAGCCGAAAACATGTTGCTTGCTTTTTTGAGCGGAGCGGATCGCCAACCAGCCTATCGGCTTGTGTGTGTGATTTCCACAGTTTTCACGTATTAATTCTTCTGTGATTTTTCTGGCTTGGCCGATTTCACTCAAACGTGGCAGGTATGTCACACCTTCACCCTAGTTATTAGGAAAAATCTGAAGAAAAAAAATGTGGCCCACCATTGCCATAGCAACAGCCAAAAAATTGATTTTTGATTAGCTTCGCGCCAAATGTATCTCCTCCTACAAATTCAGGATAAAACACCTCAGACATAGCTCATTCTACTCAGCTTGAGTGTGGGCACAAAATTACTATTTGAATTTTTGATATCTTTTTTCATTACCGAGAAATTTGACCCCAAAGTTGGGGTTACTGTTCACCAAGAATTGCTTTTTAACTCTTCTGTGATTTTTTTGGTTTGGCTGATTTTGTTCATACTTGACAGGCAGGTCGTACCGCCACTAATTGGAATACTTTCGCCCCAAATTTATTACCTCTTACCAGTCTTGTAATAGTAGTGTTTAAATGATCATGCTTTTTATTTTGGCTACGTTGCCTGCACACCGGCACCGACATTGTTACACTGTATCAACGTAATCCCAACGCAATTTTGAACTTTGAATGAACTGTAAATGCTGCCTTCAATCTAGAAAATACTATTGCAAAACGGTTGGAAATAATAAATTTAACAGCAGAATACGTCCTACATGTAGCAATAAAATAAAGTGACTTCTAAAGACTGAGTGTTTTTTTGGCGAACTTCGTATACGGTGCCCGGTGCCTACCGAGGCAACAGCCGAAAACATGTTGCTTGTTTTTTGAGCGGAGCCGATTGCCAACCAGCATACCGGCTTGTTTTAGTATAAGCTAGTAACAACTTTTCAATAATTATGGGATGATTTGTAGGCATAATATTGTTATGTGAACTTCGTTCATTAATGGAATACTGCGCGATGACGCCATTTTCAGGGCCTAACTGATTCAGACTCCTATATTGACTATGTCCCGGGCTGTTTACTAGTACCAACCTACTTACTTGTCAGTGTCGAACTGTTATATACAGCCCAGAACACGTCAGAATAGTCAAAAAAGGTCAGCTAATGTCAGTTGCCCGTGCAATGAGAGCCGGCCAAAGAACCAAAACAATCTGTCAGCCTTCGCCGCCCACAGCATTGATATGATTTTATATTGCATAGAAATAAACACTAAATACAGTTATCCCGGTCAGCAATCGAATCATCAATCTTAGTGGTCCGTAAGCGAATGTTGTCAAGTTCGAGAGTGTGTTTTAACGTACAGCGATGTGAACATTATTGCTACAATTTTGGGCTTGAACATGTTCTATATTCACCCAAAACAACGACGAACCTGAAACAAAAGTAACCGTCCGATCTAAACGACCTACTATGAAAATCGAGTCTTATCTCCCTTGCTTTTCCGATCGACAGAACCAATCGGGCCAATCCACCATGATTGTTTGCTTATCATCAATTCACAAAGGTCAAAAACGTTTTTAAACGTGAATTTAACGACGAACGTTTTTGAAACGAATCAATGTTCTGGTTATCTCTGGTGCGACTGCAGTCTTTGGAACAAACTTGAGGGACTGTAAAACGCAATTTATGGTACGCGACTTAAAAACACAATTTACACGTGAATTTCCCAACAAAGGTTTAAATGTTTTAGTTGTATGTGGTGTGGCACTAGTGTGGTAAGCTGTCGAATAAAATGGCAACAACCTTCGAACGCATTGTTATGCTAATTTGATTTCCGGCATGTTAGTTGACAAAGAAATGAAAGATTTCTTGAATTTTCGGCGATAGCTACGTGGATTTGAACCAAAATGTTATCAGCAAGACTCAGAATGCGACAGTGACAGCCACTGAAAGGTAATTGAAGGCAAATGAACACGTCAAGCAAAAAAGACTTTTTCCAGTCGTAGCGTAAAATGGCACATACCATTTTGACTCTTGAGGGGAATGGAAATCAGTTGATTTGAGGGTGTCACAATAAGGGAGGGAGTAAATCGTTTTTATGCTACGAAAAAAATGAAGACCTTGAACGTACTTTTTGGACTTTAGTACAATGTCATTTTTGTTTGATTACCTAACGTTTTTAGGTTCATGTGCTGTAAGTTACAGAGCACATACCTAAACGGCCGTCCCTCAGCAAATAATGAAGCAAAGACATTTTTGATGTCAAAATTGCGAAACTCTCCCTTTTTACGCAAACTGGGAAGTTCGAATTACTAAACGAAGTACAGGACGACGAAGCTTAGATATCCAAGAACCAACACATACCAAAAATTATATCTCAAAAGTGAATATTCGTGGTGTATTTAAGTTGGAATTCGTTAGTACTCTAAATATCCAAATATATTTTAGTATAAGGTAGTAATAATTGTCACAACATAGGTGGGTTCAAAGGTCATCGGGAATTCAACACTCACCATTCCAGCATGATTCATACCAATGAAATAGCTGCCAAGCTTCATTTGGTAACTTAGCAACCGGAAGTTGTTCTTCAGGTGGGGTACCAAACTACAGACCAAAGCATACCAATATATAACACAGTTGTAAAAGGATAAGATCTGTATCTTAAAAGATAGATACATGTAATAGTTCTAAAATGTTAAGACAATATTTTGTGCTTTTTATAAAATCTTAATTAAAACTGCAGCACATGCCATTTTGAATTAGATTTTATTTTTCTAATCCTTTCATTTTGAGCAGAATTAAACAATAAATACTGAAGTTAATAAGGAAATAAAAACTTAGAGAGCTAGTAAAACATATACTGTAGTAATAGCAATTGAAAAATTATAAAAAATTGTGAACAACATTCAATTTCCCATCTTTTATCTGAATGTGGTCCACTATCTAGATTCATCTCAAATAGTGATAACAACTTACCAATGACTTGCGTTTACGTGTAAGTTGTATACTACTCATAGATTTCAGTAATGCATTATCAGGAACTACAGGGCTATAAACTAATCTACCTTGGTGATGTGGGCTTTCATCCTGTAAATGGCGTCTGAGTGGAGGTAAGTTTTGTGATCTACAATAAAATATAATGACAAAATATAATGACAACTAATTTACTTCAATCTATTGCATCATACATGTACATGTCATTCTACACCACAATGTATTACATTCACATGTAGTCTATTATTGTCTTCAACCATAATCAGCTGTTTTCACAATATAATATAAGTGATATGAGAAATATTTTCTGGAGCATACGTTCTCATTTCAAAAACAAGCACACAATGACAACATTAAGGCAACTGTAAACTAGATGACCTGTACAATGTGTCTGCGGTGGCGGTGGTCGTTGCGCAGCGCGTGTTCAAATATCATGTAAATAAACAATGTATTTTACACGCGTTGTTTACGTCGCTATGAGTCCCATATTGAACAGGACGTGGCACAGCGACTGCCGCCCTTTAAGTGTGACCTCAGATAATTTTATGGAAAAGATGCAAGTTTCCCCCAAACACCCTATACAGATCTATCCCACAATTCTTTGCATAATCCAATATAGAGTTAATATACTGAACTATGTAACGTGCAATGTTAAACTATGACCTCAAATAATTTTGCACATTGAACTATGACCTCACATAATTTGCATGCACTGACCCTGTGTATTTTGCATACCTAGTTAGCTGAGGAGCTGATTTTGATTTGGCAAGATTATAACGTGGTGAGGTAGGTTTCTGTGGCATTGTGGGTAATCTTCCTGTGTTCCTCATTACTTCCGTCCACCTGGATTTATAATTACTGTAAACAAAATGAAAGATCATTTGATATTAGGAAGTACACACCTGGCAACTACTAGAATACTACTATCACTATCTTCCTATATTACAACTACTATTACATCTTCGCCAGCCAAAGACAATATATTCGACCAAAGCCTCAACATTAACCCATGACAGATTTCACCATGATTCACTGTATGTCGCACGCCCTCAAACAATTATATTAAGATTCACTTCATTTGCATCACCCAATCAGAACTCACGATAGAAACAACACTTTACTTTGTAAAATTAAAATGGTAGAATATAGAAATGAACGTGTTGCTAGCTTTTTCTCTGAACAAGCTTACTGACCATCAAAAAAAAGCACTTGCTGTATCTGAGGGGAATGTTGTTTTTGTTGCAACCACAGTCCTACAGGGACTGTGTTGCAATGAAGACCGGATCGGGCAAGTCGATATGTTATCAGTTTCAACAGTTTTGTCAGTTTACTAAAACACGTTTCGCACAAATATTTAGACATTCCATTGTCTTCATTCACTTGCCCATAAACAGTTTTCAAATGTTTGAATAAAAAATTTGGGAAATGTGTCGATAAAAATAAACCTTCAGTTCTTGAGTCTGCGTGACTCAGCGCAAAGCCTACACACGTCCATTGTTTTAATCTGTGACGAGCACTCAAACCTTCACATTTATGATACAGCATTGCTGATTGGTGGCGCAAGCTCCTTGGTTCGTGGGCCGGTTATGAATGGCCGGCTTTAGCAAAACCATGCGATTCAGACGATGCTACTATTACTATATTTCTATTACTGTAAAATCTGTATTAGAAACCGCGGCTTCTATTAAAATGGTACAATGCAACAGAGGGGATGCGGCTTCTATTAGAGCATCTACACATATGAGAAATGATGAATTTTTGGTTCTCAAACATTCAAAAAGAATGGGTGCGACTTCTATTAGGGATGCGGCTTCTAATACAGATTTTACGGTACTATTCATAGTGAACTGTCATAAGCTTACCTGGGAGTTCAGATGGCAAATAAATTTACTTTATATACATTGTAGCAAACTGACCAAGGTAATATTATACAACATAATAATTGCTCATATCATTGTCAAGGATTATGGAACTATTTAAAATATGTGTATTATTAGTACATTATTAAATATAATATCACATACCCCTACCCCACCCCACCAAAAAAGAAATAAGTGCATATTCATCAAATTACAAAGATTTCTGAGAAATTAATTTGTTTGATGAATATTTTATTCATTTGCTATTGTAGGACATGCCATGTATACTTACAGAATATGTTCAGACATTGGCTCATCTTGAAAGGGAACTTTTGGCAAAGCGAGTTCAGAATTGCACTGCAGAACATCTCTACGGCGTTGTACAAAAGCACTGTAAACAAGAATATTATTGTTTCTATGTAATTAGGAAACATTAAGGTTCTTTACATTGTTGTTATGGTAACTGAATCCTATTTGACAAAATTTATTTTTAACAATATTTTGGTGTTTCAGTGACACTATATATTAAACAAACTAAATACATGTATATATTTCATAGCAGAGGTTTTCTAAACCGGGGAACAGGAGCAGCGCCCTGATACTCTCGGCTTTATTAATGTATATATATGTTGTAGTCAACACAAACGTGAATATAAAATCATTACTCAATTTCACCACAATAACAAATCCTGTTATCATAGTGAAATCATTTCAAATTCTGTATATTTTCTCTAATTGTAAAACAGAAGAAATTTCAATTTTCTGTCACTTTTCACAAAATAAACCAAAAGCGTCAAATTTTTTCCATATTTTTGATTAAAACCTGTAGCCAATAGGTCTAAAATTAATGAAAACATTTTTTGCGATATACACAAAAAATCTACATTTCTTAGCATAAAAGAGTTTGAAGGTTTGAAGAGGTTAAAACAGTTAAATTTTCATTTTGTTTAAAACTGATCTTGGGATAATGTTGACCTGGTATTGCCCTAAAGGTGTGTAGTTCTCACCACTCAGTAAATAGTGTTGTATTACAGTAGTAGAACACATAGTTACCAGTAATGTTTATATGGTTACGATATTTACTTTAGTGAAATACAAACAGGCATATTGAAGTGATGAGAATATGTTATTTATTAAGCAAGACCTCAGGGTTATAATATCTTATGCACATTTTTCATGACATAGTCATAAATGAAAATACCCAGAATTTATTCAATAAAAGCAGTCCAGAAATATTCATTTGTTTCCTTCATTTACTTATAGATACAAAATGTATATTCTAATAATTAGATATTAGTAACATGATACATATAAAACAAATAGAATAGAATAGAATAGAATAGAATAGAATAGAATAGAATAGAATAGAATAGAATAGAATAGAATAGAATAGAATAGAATAG